AAAAAAATAAGAAGCTGCAAGACCACCCCAGCAGCTGAGTAGAGCCAAGTGACTGTGATCTGGCCAAGGAGAAGCTCAGGAGTCAGAGAAGTGCAACTTCCAAGAAGGGTCTTAAAAGTGTCTTTATGACTCTTGCCACTGGTTAGTGTGCACGCATGGTGACTGGAGCTGGAGTCATTCTTGGATTGTGAAGTGGAGTTGGCACCTGATGTAAGTGCTAAGATGGCAGAATAATAAGAGAGGAGGAGACTGGACCCTGGAAGACCACAGAGCTGCCATGAGGGAGGTGGATTCTACTGCTGGACTTAACTCACATGAGAAATGCTCGTAATCTAACGTCTCCAGACCTCGGGTTTTAGCCCTGATGAACCTCCTCATACAGTCATTCACAGTCAAATCTAGTCCTAAGTCCGACAGAATACATAATTCTGTCTTGTTTGTGATTTCAATCACCCACCATCTGACTCAAGGCCTGTGAGCTTCAGATTAGCCCCAGCCCAGTCCTGGTTCACTGAACCTCACCATATACTTCCCATCCTCCTCCCAACTTCTCCATCCACCAGTTTCCCATCTCAGGGAAGGATACCCCCAAAACTGCAGTAACCTGTGAGTCATCTATTTTCCCTTTCTCCCACTCCACCTCTCCCACATCTACAAGATCCCCTGTTCTGCCTCTTCAACAGAATTTACCCCTCCAGGGGTCTCGTTGGTGGCTCAAGGAGTTAAGTCTCAGTATTATCAAGCTATCACCAGCCACTGCAGCATGAGTTCGATCCCTGACCAGGGAGCTGACCCACATGGCCCAGCAGACCTTTCCTGTCTCACCTGCTGCTTCCCTCAGCAGTATATTTCAATAGATCCGCTTCTTCTCTTCCTCAGTCTGTCTCTGGTGAATCTTCTCAACCCTCCCTCCCCCCACCCGACACTTCTGGCCTACATCCCAGCTCTTGAAAATAAATTAATCTTTAAAAAAAAGAATGTATCCTCCATTCTCCTCCAGGATCTCTGTCTCAGCTCAGGCCCTCACCAGCCCACATCTAGTCCACTGCAGCCACCTCCTAACTAGTCTCCCTTCCTCCAGGCTTCACCCCACAGCTTGTCCCAACCCTCTTCAAAATCCTCTTTGGTCGCTAGCACAAAATCTAAACTTTCTAGGTGAACATCAGACTGCCTGCCTTCTGTCCCCTCATCTTCCCCCTCAGCCCCCAACCACTCCCCTCAGCACCTACCCCTCTGGCATACTATGCAAATAATGTCACAATTCCAGTAAAGCATTGTGGTTCTCTGTGGCTGTGCACAAGCTGTTCCATCTGTCTCAAATGTCCTCCACCCTCATCTGTTGGTAAATTCTTACTCCTTCAAAGTCCAGGAAAAGGTCACCGCCTCCACGAGGCCTTGCCTGATTTCCACGGTGAAAGCAGCCTATTGGTCTGTGTGCTACTGCGAAGCCTACCTGCCTAATTCAGCACTTACCACGTTGCTTTCACCAAACAGGGTGTCTTGTCTCCCAGACTGGCAGCGAGCAACTTGGAAAGGATTACATCGTACTGTTTTTGGAATACACCATACACAGACAAGGTATCAACACACAATATTCTAACTGAGCCCATACTATGTGCCAGATCCTGAGCTAGATGCTTTCTCTAAGGTGTCCCATTTATCTCAAAATCACCCTGCCAAGAAAGGAGACTGAGCTTCCCAGAGCCTTGGGAGTTGCTATAGGTCACTCAACGTGTGGACAGCAGAGTCCAAGACTGATTCTCCACCTGCCACAACTGATTCTCCTTTGGGATTAACCTCACCCCACAGTGAACCCCAGTTTTAGTCTCCAATCCCCAGACCTGGGTATGGAAAAACCCCTTAGTCCTTTTATTCAGTTAACAAGTTGGGATCTATTTCAACGGAACACCCCCCAAAAAAGAAACTATATATGTATCTATAATTATTTGCTCTGTGAAACAGATGAGCAAGTCCACGCCATTCCGTTTCCCTTACTTCCTCCTAAAACCAGCAGGAGATTAGATGGTCGCAAAGATCCTTATCGGGCCTAATATCCTGTGACCCCGTGATTAGTTTCTCAGGCAGGGTTGCTGGATTTTGTTGGGGAAGGCAGTCCATTAGGGGCACAGTTATGGGAGGCAGGTAAGGCCATTCAGCAAGTCGCCAGCCCCTAACCCCCATCCCTTTTATGACTTGATCTTAGATGTCCAAAGGGAGAGATTTGTCCAGGAGCCTCCTTAGGCCTCCTGCCCCGGACCCTCCCAGACCAACAGAGGGTGGGCAGCTTGGAGTTCAGACTGCATACCGCCTGCTGGGCCTAGAAGAATTCTGGCCCCTCTCTGCCTCAGTTTACCCACCTTCCTTCCTGGGGGACACAGCTCTGGCCTCCCCACTCTGCCCAGTGGGACCCTCTGGAAAGCCCCACTCAGTGCTGACACAGGAAGGGGAGAGGCGAGCTGGTGGGTGAGTTCCTGTGGAGGCAGAGCTCTACTGTAGCTGTTGGAACCAGTCATTTCCCTTCCCCGCCCACCCAGCTGGGAGGCCTAGAAATTTCATCACAGCTGAACTGTTGTCCTTATAAGGAAAGGGCCTCCAGAGCATCTCCCCTGAGCTATGACTGGCTGGTGGAGAGTCCAGGCATCAGGAAAGGTGGAGGAGCCTGAAATCAGCCAAAAGGCCCCTGTGCTGAGCCTTCAACTGCAGTCAGACTCTCCAGAAATAGCAGGAAGCGGATTGTGGCCCCAGGCTCCAGGTCAAATCCCAGGCCTTGACACTAACTAGGTTTCCTAGGCGAGTTGTTTGAGCTGCAGGAGGCCACTGTGGTGACAGTGAAAGAAGAGTATAGGCCTGGGGTTTATTAAGCATTTTCTATGAGACAGGCTGCAGATTAAGTGTTCCACAGTAACTCCATGAAGAGAGATTTAACCCATTTTAAAGACAGGAAAAACTGAGGCAGTTTACCTAATGTCACTTACTCATGGCTGGGGTTTGAATCTAAATATGTCCACCTCTAAATCTAAAGTCAAATGTTCTCTATTTACACCTTCCACTTCCTCCAACTTTGATCACTTAATAAAACTGACAATGGGGAGAAACTTCCTCTATACCTTTGTGGCCCTCCTTGCTCCCCCAGAGCTTCCTTGCAACATCATAAAACCTCCATTTGAGTAAGTTTATCTGATATGATAGACATGATAGGCATGAGAACGGCATTTGGTCAGTCAACAAGATAGGACTTGAAGGGGGCTACAAAACACGGTGGCTCCAGTAAATTGGTGCTTGGGGAGGGGCAGGGAGGTGGAGACAATAGGATGCCCCTCCCCCACAGGCCCTCCAGTTCCATCCTGGGTCTCGCTGTCTGCAGGCAGTCACCTGTGGTTTGCAATACCCCACACTGCAACTACCCACAGGACCTCAGGTCACTGAGATACCAAGCGATATGTGCTCAAAAGGAAGACTCCCCTTGTCTGCACAGGCCTCCAGCCCCCAGGACTAGGAGAGTTCTACCTACCACATCCTTCCTTAGCACTATGGTGGTCACCAGCACCTCCCAGCAGCTATGCTCTTCAAAGTGGACCTTCAGAGGGCACCTGGTTCCTGGGCCAGGATGGGGGACACTCAGTCATCCTTACCTTGACCCTCCTCTCAGATGAGGGACCTGTGAAGTGGTATACCCAGGGTCTCCCAACGTCTGCAGGCCACTCACTCAATATGGCTCACATGTCAGGCGGGGGAACTTAAGGCCCCACATGTCAGAGGGGCCTTAAGGGTCACAGCCAGTCAGTAGGCCCAGGTCAGGTGCTTCCTGTTATGTTGGCCACTGGACCTGTTCAGCAGCACTCAAGGGAGGAAGGGAGCCAGCCTTTGGGGAGCACAGCAGTGCCTTCCCACATTGGGGAGTGGGGGTGTGTTAACCCTCTTTCATGAGTGAGGAAAGAGGGCCCTGAGGCTGAGATTCACTAAGGTCCCTGGGTGGGGCTTGAACCTTGGCAGCCTGACTTGGCGTTCTGCCCAGAGGCCCAGAAGCTTCCAAAGAGCTCTTGATGAAGATCCTGTTGAGATGTACCTAAGGTGCCCCAGGCATGTGGTGGATAGATCTTAGGCTACACTTAACCAGAACCAGGCGCTGGGGTTTATTTTAACAACTGGAAGCATTTTGAGCCATCAAAGGAAAGACCCATTCAAGCAAAACTAAGTCTAGGGAGAAATTTTGATAGGTGCATGGTCTTAAAATGTCTGCCAGATTGTTTCAAGAGAGAAATCATAACTAAACAGCAGAAAAATCAGACCACTTGACCACATGATCAAAATCAATGTTACCAGTGAGGGGAGTATGAAGGTCATGTGTCTCCAGACACGGTACACCAAGATGGACCCAGCATCACCTGAGCAGTTATCTGGCTCAGAATCATCACCTCTATGTGATGATGAGGAACCTCAGACAAACCCCAAGTAGGGAATATCTTATTAAAGTGGGAGGGACTGTTTTCTTCAAAAAAAACAAAACATGAACTAGTGAAAGCACTCAAAAGATAAACCAGTGTGTTAGTCTGGCTGGAGAGAATACAGGTGTTCCTTATACTGTACTTATTCTCGCACCTTTTCTCTACATTTGAAGTTATTTCCCACTAAAAGTTTGGTTTCTTTTTTTAAATTCAAAAGCACAATTCTTTAAGACACTTAGCCCCTGTCTGTAGAAACCTGGGGCAGTGGGATGAGGGTGAGAATAGAAAGCTGGACTGTGGTTAGCAAACACTGAGGTCTGGGGTTGAAGAGAATGAATGTCCCCGCCCAACCTGGTCATTTAATAACATATGACAACAGGGAGAAACTTCCACCATCCCCCTTTTGGCTCTCAACTTCCATTTGAGTGAGTTTATGTGGCTCCAGAACTGAGTACGGAGGACCAGGACTGCCAGTGATTAACCTCCTAGGCTTCTGTGAGGCCAGCCTGGAGCTGATCCCATACCAACAAACAGTTTGTGCCAGAAAAATTCCATCAAAGTGATTTATTGCGAAACCTCAAGAAGCATGGATGCTTCACAAGCAGAAGACATGGAGTGTCATCCTCCTCAAGGAGGCAGGTAAGGCAGCCCCGCCATGTTCCCACTCCTCCTCCCCTGAAGCTGGCTTTCCCCCTTGGGGTTCTCCATGGGAACCAATGGCATTAGGTGACTGGCATGGTCCCATAGATTCTTGCCCAGCCTGGTCACCAGAAGAGAAAACTGAGGTTATAGTCTCCAGGAGCAAATGGCTGAACCAGCAACTGTGGCCAGCACAGGTTGCTAGGGCTGCTTGGGAAGGAGGGTACCCCAAGGGAGACAGAAAGGGCAAATGACATTCGTGCTCACACTGGAGACAGATAAGGAGAGGCAGACCATGGCATGAAGCACTTTGTCCAAGGGATGCGGTTTGAGGAGGCCAAGAGGAGTTCACAAGCCATGCAGTACTGCAGACTGCTGCCCAGTACAGGTCACAGAGTGGACACCTGCCCCTCCTGATAGCTGGCCACTACCCTCAGGAACAAAGTGAACGCGAAAGTACAGTCAGGAGGCCTGGACCTGCGCTGGTCGTGGGCAGGACTCGTGTTCGGGGACGGCGTGGTGTGCAAAAAGGCCAAAATGTGCAGTTGTGACCCTGCTTCCCCCTCCTTCAGTAAACAAAAGTGCACATGCAGAAATGCCCTGGGCAGGCCCTTAGAGGCTGCTCCCTCTCCCACAGGCCCCAGAGAGAATGGCTATGACCTTCAGAGCCTCTGCACCTACAGGTCCTGGCCCCCAGCCCCGCAGCCACAGCAGGATGGAGACTGGCCGTGCTCCCAGAGCTGAGGACAATGGTGAAGGGCAGGGAGGGGCAGGCCCAGGGTGCAGGCATGGACCAGGAAAGGCACAGAACACGCTCCCTTCCACTGGGAAGTTCGGGCGGAACAGCCATCAGGACTGGAGCCAGGGGTGGGGGAAGAAGGCAGAGGGAAGTCGTTTCAAACTCCAACATCCCCATCAGCATTTGAAGAAGTGACCGGGATCCTGAACCTAATGGGTTGAGGAGGAACCACCCATGGAGGGAGGCACAGAAGCGGAGAGCCTCTTTCCTGAAGCTTGGTTTAGAATGAGCTACGCACAGTGTTTTCTGGTGTTAACACCAGTCGGCGTTCTGCGGGTCTCCTCTGCACGGACGGACGGACGGACGCCTAAGGCTGACACAAACTATTTCAGGGGTGGGAACTCGACTAGCAGATTCTGCAAGTCCTTCCAATCACATCCACCAGAGGGGAAGGGCTACAGGACACGTCTTCGTTTGCATGATGGGAAACAGGCTCAGAGAGGGAACACACAGCAAATGGCTTTCTCACAGATGCCTCCACCTGTTGTACGAGGCCTTCTGGGTTCCAGGTCTCATTCAACTGAACCTATTGTGTCAGCTGCTACTCAGCACAGGTAGGTGGGAGAGCAGCTGACTTTGAAGTTCTCTGCCTGGGAATACGTAGACATGGAGGCTGCAGGTGGGCTCAGCTGTGCTCTATTCAGAAGTCAGGAATGTAAACTACTGGGGGTGGAAAACGGAGATGACACCCCCCTCCAGAAACCCCAAGCACTATGCCAAAGCCCTGGGGCAGTCTGGAGCAACCACGAAAGCACAGAGGTTGGAGCGTGTGCTGCCAGCCCAAGCTCAGAGCGCAGAGGCTGGGCCAGATTGCCAGACGGAGGCACCTGGCAGTGCCGGGCAGGCTACCAGGAGTCTCTGCAGGTCCAACCCACATGTGCTGGCCAGCCCTTCTACAGCCTGAGCAGAAGCGCATTTGTCAGCAGGGCTGGGCCTTGAAGGACTAGGAAGGCCAGGAGGGCCTTGCTCTGGCCCAGCAGACCCTAGGGTGCGCTTCTCCGGTACAGAGTCACCAGCTCCTTCCTCTTCTCCCGAAGTCCAGGTGCTTCCTGGCCCAGCTCTCCCCGATCTCTGATTTCCTGCAGGGCCTGGGTGGCCTGCCTTAACTGCTCCACAGCCTGGCTGAGCAACGTTTCAGCATTCACAGGAGCCGGCTCACTGCCCAGCACCTTGTTCAAAAGTTTCTCTGTATGCTCCGAGGCGACCTTCACCTCCAGGTGGGCCCGGTACAGTTGTTCCCCAGTCTGCCGTGGACGCCGAGGGCTTTTCCCAAGTAGGTCTCCCAGAGAGGAGCAGCGGGGACGGAACCGAGGTGGCATGTCCCGGAAGGGCAGTGCTGTGGACTTTTCTGCATCTTCTGGGGGAGTTCCTGGGGTGCCCGTAGCCTGGGATGGCTTGGCAGTCTCGGGAGCATCATCTACACCATTCACTGAGACCTGCGCTGGGCTCAGGGCAGAGGTCTCAGAGGTCCTGGTTCTTGGCGCTGGTCCAGAAGCCTCCATCCCCCTAATGGAGGCTCTCAGTTTATCCGATAAGATCTTGGGTGGGGGCGTAGGCGGTTTCCCACTCTCTTTGGGTGCGGCCTCAGCTGTGTCAGAACAGAGCCCATGGGATGGGGCTGCACTTTCATGGTCAAAAGGCTCCTGAGGGCTGGGGTTCTCCCAGCTCACCTTCTGTTTGTCAGGCAGGACCGCTTTGAAGGGCTGTTCAGAGCTGTCCTCCCCTACCGGAGTCTCTGAGTCTTCCCGGCCCTCAGAGTGGGCCTCAGAGCTAGCTGGAGCAGGGGTTGGGGCTCTTTCCCCCGCAGAACAAAGGTTGTCACCAAGGTTGGTAGTCTCAGGCACTGGGGAAGGCTTGGTAGGAGGCATGGGGGGTCGGGGTATCTCCCGGGGCTGGGTGGCCCTGACATCATTGCTGGGGACAAACACTGGTGGCCCACTGTCCGGAACATCGAGGTCCAGGCGCGAAAGTCCGTCAGAAGCAGCACTGGCTACCTGGTGGGGCAGTACATGGGCGTATCTTGGATGACTATTGGGTGAGGTGTGCCTGCCTACAAAGGTACTTTTAAGCCCTCCCATCCAGGCTGCCCTGGCCCTCACTCTCCATGCCCTCTGCCCTGGCTTCCAAGGCTACTTGATTAGAAGATGAGGTGGCTCTGAAGAATCCTCTCCTCTCCATCACTCCCTCAGAGCTCCCTGTTTTAGAGTCACGGCCCAGGAAGTCAGAGCCAGGGTGTCCTCTCAGCGCCCAGCCTGGCTTCTTCTAGCCTGTGAAAGAGGCCGCTCTTTTTAGTGGCAAGTGTGCTACCTGGCAGCAAGAGCCATGCTCCCAGGCTTGTTTCTCACCTCTCTCTGGCTGTCTGGCCTCGAGAGGACCCCTCTCCACAGCCACCCACTCAGAGTCCCCACAGCCAAGAGGTGACAAGACCAGGACTCAAATCTAGGTCTCCCGGGTTCACTCACTTCTGCTTCCCCCCCTGTCTAGTCTGAAGCCCCCCCCCCCCAGCCCTCTCCCAGATCTCTCCAGGCCTGGCCTGTCCAGATGCTCAGCAGCCAGAGCCCACTTTCTTTATGCTGTCAGATGTGGTCCCAGACTTGGGCAGCTCCAGACCACAGCTGACCACCAGAGAACAGCTGCACCGAGCAGTCAGCTGGCCCCCACCTGGCTCCATGGACCTGCAAGGATGCCCAGCAGCCCGCAGACATGGGAACCCTCTGTGGAGCCTCAGAGTTCCTGGGCTGGGGCTGGGGCTGGGCGGGAGGCCTCTCCCGAGGTCTCGCAGATGGTGGGGTCCTACCTAGGCCCCCACTCTGCTGTATGTGCAGACAGGTGATCTGGCCATCACAAGCACTCAGCCACGGGACTGGAGCCCCTCCCTGACTTCTCAGCAGCACCCTCCTCCGAGGCTGGCCTCCTCAGACTTCCTAGACCTGCCCCGACAGGCAACCCTTTTCTCTTTGGCTACTTCAGTTGTTCACTCTGCACTTTCTGCTCAGCCAACAGACATGAGCAGGCTGCCTCATCTCAAACATGAGCCCTCCAAAAACCTCGGCCTCGTCACTGCTCTCTTTCCCTCCATGGTCCTCACTCCCCCACACTGTACTCCACGGCAGGACCAAGCCCACTCCTCCTAGGAAAAGTGCTGAAAGCATCACAAACCTGCCTGTCTCCCAGTCCTGGCCCTCTTGTGACTTGGGGCCGCCAACCTGCCGGGTGACTCCCAGGTTCTGTGCCCTTCTCTCTCCAGTGGTGCCTCTCGTCTTCTGGCCTCTTCTTCCTGGGCTCCCCACTGCCCTCCAAACCCCCAAATACTGCATTTATGGAGGGTCTTTCCTGGCCTCCAAAATCCATCACCGCTCCCCCCTGCCGCACATAGCAACACTGGTCTAAAAAGTGCTGCCTCTTTATCCCTCCCTTTGTCTAAACACCTTCTCCCAAATTCCCTGTGCCTGGCGTCTCCACTTGCCCAGTCTTCAGGCTTGGGGCGGGGTGGGGCGACGGGCACCTCCCTCTCAGTCCTGCTTTCCCCCTCTAGCTGCATAATCAACCACAACTCAGGTAACACTAATCCTCCACTGGCGCCTCCCTCTTCATCCCCTCCTGGAGCCTGGAGGGCCTAACCCCCTCCTGTTCTGGACCCCTGCCTTTCCCTGCTTCAACACAATCCACCCTACCTAGGGCCTCAAGCTGACTTTTGGAAGGCACCCTCCCATTCATCTCCTTTCTAACGCCTGCATTCAAGACCTCCACAGTGTCTTCCCCAATAATCTGCTTTCTGAGACCCACCATCCAGTTAAAGGGTTCAGTTTGCCTTAAGCACAACTGCCTTGTGCTTCATCTTTAGCTCACGCCCTTTCCTTGCTAGGCGAGGTACCTCCCTCACACCAAGTCCGCTTCTTAACACCCTTCCTGTTCTTCCAGCGTCAGCTGATGTACAGTGGGTCCTGTGGTTGCCCGTCTGCCCCCAGATCCCTGCTCGAGACACAAACTAGCACACAGCTCTGATCGAGGCATTTGTGGGCAGGTCTCTTCTCCAGCGGGGAGCTGAGCTCTGGGGGTGGGCACGAGCCTCTTGGCCTGTTTCCTGCAGATACCAGCTGTGGCTTGGGCTAGTGTGTGGACTTAACCAGTGAGGCAGGCCCACCTACACTGAGCACATATAATACACGTGTTTCTAACACAGATACCCCATACCTCAGGAAGCCCCAACTTCGGGAGGCCTAGTGAAAAAAGTGGCCCCAAGCCTGATTGCCACCCTAAGGACCTGGGGCCCCAGGCTCAACTGACCTCCCACCTGTCTTAGGAGGGGCAAGTCTTACCTCCTTGAGATGGACTCTTGTAGGTGGGCGGCGGCGCTGGCCCCCGCGCACCCGGTCTCTTGTCACGTGCTCCAGGGCACAGGTCTTGTCCACCTTTACCTGGGAAGAAGAGGGAGCCACATCAGTTTCCAACCAGGCCGTAGGGAGAAGCAATAATTCCCAGGAACTAAACTGACTCACAGGCAGGGTCTGCATCCACATCCTTGATTGCCAGGGTCTGCCCACCACTGCCCTCTCTCTAACAATCTGTCTCTGTTTTTCTCCATCTCCACACCATCTATCTATGCCATTCCCCTGAAGCCTAAAAATTTCCTTCTCCCTCCAGTTCCCTCTTGACTTCAGTCTTCTTGCCTAAATACAGGCTATCCCCACATGCCTCTTCTGAGCTTAGCTAGGAGAAGTGGAAAACGCCTCCCCTGACATCACTCTCCAGGGCCTAGGGTAGCCCAGGAAAGAACAGGGCCTCTGCCCCTAGGACATCTGGAGGTAGCAGCTCCTGTCTGAGGGCAAGGAAAAGGGGCGAGGCATAGCCAGGAAGTCCCAGAGGAAGATTCACATGGGAAATCCACTCTCTGAGTCTTGGATGGGGACTGGGGCAAACCTCCCCAGTCCAGGCTCAGGGCTCAGGCCCACTGAGGGGTCCAACTCTACTGGAACTGCCGACCCTGCTTGACCAAGATGGGGCCAAGGCCCCAGATGCTCCTGCGACATGACCCATCATCCCTCTCTCAGCTTTTGCAGGACATAGACTATGCACCACATAGTCGCATAACACACAACAAAGATGCCATGGCAGTGAGTCAGAGGGACTGGGCGTTATAAGGAGACTTGCTTGGGGAAATTTGCTCCCCTCAGGTATTGGTCTTCTGCAATCCAAGGTCCACTTTAGCCCAAATAGCTATGAATCCATAATGGCAAAAACACCCGCCCTAGGAGGTCTGACCCCATGACACCTCTTGCCTGCCCCAAGACTGTTTGAGGCCACTATTACCACTACAGTGTAGTCCAGGGCACAGTGTGGCCATAGCAGCCAGATAGGAAGCCCAGGGCTAGAGTCAGCCTGGCCTCAACTTCACGGCCAAAGTGAAAAATCAACTTTCAGGCTGTCAGCTCACCTCCCTACCCCTGATCCCGCCAGCCTGGGCCCACCTGCTATTTCTAGGAAGGCTGGAAAGGCTGCATGGCTGCAGCTGGGGAAAGCGCCAGGGCGCTCACCTACTTTTAAATCTTAAAGAAGTTATCTCATTTCCTTACGCCTCAGTTTCTTCTCCCACAAATGGGAACACTACCACCTACTCTGAGGGATGTGGTGAGGAGTTTATAAGGTAACCACAACAGATGTCCCGGTGTTTGTGGCAGGGCCTCCATCAAAGGGTTGTCTGAGGTAGGTGGGCAGGGTGCACTCAGTTCACACAGGTGGAAAGGGCCCAGAGCCATCCACAGGACTCAGCGCACCTCATCAAAAGCCTTGTTCTTGCCTCGGTTGATCCCTTCGTTGAGAGCTTTGATCCAGGACTCCTTTTCCTCCCCGCTGGGTGCTTGGAATTTGATGTCGCTGACCTGGAGGGGACGTGGGTGGGGTGGGTGGCAGATGTTTAACATGACTCACATTTGGAGGCTTAAAGCTTCCCACTCGAGAGCCCAAAGGTTACCCCGACACAGCTGGTCAGGAGCAGGTATGACACGGACTTTGGGTAAAAGAAGTAACAGATCCATCAGAGAAGGGGCTGCCTCCCAGCACGGGGCCGCCAGCGCAGGGGGGTTAGAATCAGTCTTGCCCTGTGGAACAAGCCCAGATCTGCTCTCGTGACTCCCCCAGGGCAGCTAGCTTACCTCTGGGCTTCAGTTTTCTCTGGAAGGCAGTCATCCCAGTCTATAGCCAGTCTACAGCCATACCAGGCTGAGGACAATGTCAGCAGGGACAGTGTGAGAGGGGGTCATTGAGAAAAGCCCACTGGAGCCAGGGCTACCCTCAGCTCCTCAGTGTACTCCCCACCTAGCCCTGATACCAAGTAAAGACATCCTAGGATCTCTTTTCTGACCTGGAATCACAGATTGTAAGGGGGGCTGGGGGTCACTTTCAACCCTCTTATCACAAAGATGAGGGGACAAGCTCAGCTGACAGGCCTTAGTCAAGGTGGGCTACAATAATCCCTCACTCCACACCCTCCCCTTACAACACTCCCCATGCCTGGGTCCCTTTCCACTGCAGTTGAGACCTCCTATATCAGAATCAGAGGGCAGTGCAGAGAGCCCTGCCTGAGAAGCCCCAAGCAGGGAAGGAGAGAATCTGTGCAAACTGAGGGGCCGCTTTGCACACAGCAGTCCGAGCAGCAGGGCCTCTGAGTGGACAGACCACCACTTATAGCCGACCAGCCCTGAGCGCTAGTGTCCTCATCTGGAAATGAGGAATACAACCAATACCTGCCTGTCGCATAGAGCAGGGAAGATCACTGATACAAGCACAGGGTGGAAAGTAAAGGGTGCAGATGGGCAGAGTGAGAGCTCATACTAGGAGTTATCACCACTGCCTTCCTTCTGGACAAAATAGCCCGGTTTCCTTGTCTGGAAAAAGGGAAAACATCACCTACCACAAAGAATGTCGAGGGAGTTAAAGTGACTAAATCTAAGGCCTGGCACATCATAGGCGCTCAGTAAATAGTTACTAAATGAATGAGCCGATAAATGAATGAACTGGCCCAAGGTTTCTTCTCTTGCCCTGGCTTTGGTCAGCTGCCAACTCTCTGACCTCAAGATGCCCTAGTTCTGTGTCTGGCAAACGGCCAACATGCCCATCCCCCCGCCCCCCCTCGGTGTTAGATAGCGCCTTCCCTCTGGGTTATGTAACACCGCAGTCAGCCTGGCCCCCTCGGCACCCTTCTTATATAACTTCCTCCTGGCTACCGCAGCCTCCTCCTCCTCACACAGGGCCCTGGGTCCACCCACCTCCCCAAGCCAGGCCCAGCCAAATGCTCATTTGCATGACCAGGGTAAATTCGATCCTGGCAGCAGATCTGCAGTTAAGTCAGAAACCCCAGGGCACCTTGGCAACTGCCTCGGCCCAGCCATTGGAGCTGCCAGGGGGTTGTGCTGCATCCGGACTCCTCAAGGCCCACCCAACCCAATGATGGGGGCTGCAAGCAAGTGGCCCAGGGCCAGCCCCTCTGAGCCCAGCTGTACTCCTGCCTGAAGGCCCACATTTGGTGGAGCTCTTGTTTGGTACAGGACTGTGTGTCCCAGAGAGCTGGAGAGGCATACCTTTGAACCAGTAAAAGATGGAGCAAGGGTGGGGTAGAGAAAGAGCACTGTCCTAGCAGTCAAGATCACTGAGTTCTAGTCCCACCCTCTGCAACAGCACCCTGCATAGGTCTCTTTACTTCTTGGGGCCTCAAGGGGGACAAGAACGGAACCCCCAGGCCCAACCCAAACTGTAGCCCTTCCCAAACGGCCCAGCCCACCTGGAGAAAGGTCTTTTGCTCCCCTGTGAGGAAAATGGCCTCAGGTAAGACCTACTGTACTAGAAAAGTGTCCCCCTAGAGAAGGGAGTATGAGGCAAAGTGGAATTTAAGGGAAAATCCTGGCTGAGGGGGGTTTATAATAGAGACAACTAGAATACCAAGAAGTTGCTCCTCTTGCCCTACCCCATGCCAGTGTCCAAAAGAGCCACAGGCTATACAGGTCCCTCCTCAATCACCAAGGGTACGGGACCAGCTGGGAGCTAAGGAAGCTAAGGAACTAATAGGACTGAGCACAGAATGGACCCACACGCCCATTCTGACAGAGGACAAAGTGGCAGGGGGCGGGGGGCCGGAGGGGGGGGTGGCGCGCGGGAATGGGAGGGAGGAGGAAAGGGCCAAGCTGGCTGGGACCAGCAGGGCAGCAGGGCCCAGCAGAGGCCACCCTGCTTCCTGGCAGCGGCTGCCTGTGACCTCATGGCAGGGGCGTGGGGATGGAGAGGCAGCAGGGAGAGGGGCGTGTAGACACTGGAGTCTTTGTTTATTTGATTGGGGGGGGGAGGTGGCCTCAGGACCAGACAGCTGGGTCATGTGACCTTGCTTCTCTGGAGGCCATGCTGAGGATAGGGAACACCCAGGGCGATAGGAAAGTAACGTGAAAAGAGTCAGGAATGTGGTCTCTAGGTGGTCAACCATCGAAGCTCTGTGTGCCCCCATTCTCTGTGTGAGCTCCTCTGGGGCGAGATTCTGAACCAGAGGGTAATATCTCCTACCACCCCACAGTCAGTCCTCATCACTTGCTCCTTAACCCCATCTTCCCACTGATCATCCAGTTCCCAGAGTCGCCCAGAGCCAACCTGAACTCTTGGCAGGAGTGGGGAATAGAAGAGTGTGTTGGCCAAAGTAGCAGAGAATGCAGCTGCACAAACAGGCCTCTCCGAAGGTGACGTCCCGCCCTGAGCAGCGTGGCCCACCAAGCCCACCACCTGATTCTCAGAGCTGCAAAAGGAAGTGGCCCACGGAACACACTGACACAGGCCAGAGAGGCCAGGCCCCCACTCCGCACATCCACATAGGCACACCGAGACACAAACAGGAAGAGATGCGAGGCCTGCCCGCCGTTCCCCGGCTCTGCCACTCTGCCCTTCCCATTTCCCAGGTCACCTGCACATAAAGACGTGTGCACATCAGGCACACGTATGTGTGTACACTCATACACATACAACCACACACAAACAAATTCAATGCCTGTTCAGAGACGGGGTCTCAAGTACAGGGTCGGGGAACTAGGACCCAGAAGGCCAATATGTGACTCTCCTCTTCCTCAGACCCCTAAGCTGGAGATGTCAAATGAAACCTGGGTCTAGCCCCACGAACCCTCATGACACGATAAATCCATCCTTACACTGGGGTATACCCTCATCCTTGGTATCGGAATTCACAGTTGCCTCTTTGCCCCTACCCACTACGAAGTCAGACAAAAGGTCTCTTCCGGGGTTCGGAGCCGCAGGGACCAGAACGGGCTCCCAGGGAAGGAACAGAATGGCCTCTAATAGGCCCAGACCAGACCAGCTCCCGGAGCCCCAGTCCATGTCTCAGCCCCACCCTGCGAGGCTCCATGACAGCAGAGATTGGGGCGAGGTGGGGCTCAGCTGCAGATGGGAGAGAGCTGGCGAGGGCCTCAAATCTGAACTCTCTCCTGACATCTGCGAAGCCACACCATGTGTCAACACCCAGCCGGACTCCCTGCCAGAGAAATGTAGTGCAAACAGTGAATTTCATCTGCACACACAGCATGTCCCAGGGAAAGGCGCTCCCAAGCAAGAGATCTTCTCCAGCTCCAGCCAAAAAAGAAAAGCACAGGAGAGCAGGGCTGGCGGGCTGCGCTGAGTCCGAGGGCAGAGGGGAGGAGGAGCGGCCCTTCTGGGATGAAGGGGAGACCACACCCTCTCCTCTGCCCCAGCCTACATCAGGGCGTTGCAGGCCTGAGGGACGAAGACCTCATCCCCAAGCTTCTCTGCCTCGGCCCAGGCCAAGGGTCCCCCCCTCCTAAAGGCTTCTTTCCAGCTGTAGCCTATAAGGGCCTGGAAGGGAAGAGGGGAACAGAACTTCCTAAATGGACTGCCTATCAACAGGGAACTGGGGCATCTCCAAGACAAAATGAGCAAAAAGATGCAGCCCATGGGGACCCTGAGTTTGAGCCTCAGCTGTACACCAGAGAAGGCCTGCAGGCTGTGCCCAGCATCACTCTACCTTGTTTCCTGGTGATCGAAGCAGAATAAAGCGGTGTTTTCGTTTAAAGAGGGCCCGGAGATCTTGGCACTTCTCATAGCAGCCGAGCTCCACCGTCTCCACACACTTCTGCTCATCCTGCAGAGGGATAGAGGGGACATGAACTAGTGAGAGACAGACATACTCAGACATTCCAATAGCCAGGCCCCTCCCCACCCTGAGCCTATTCCACGAAGGTATCTCAGGGTACCTCAGGTGATCATCAATCACCAATAGGGGTATTCAGAACCTGACTTGCTGGTTGATGGCTGCCCGCAAGTTTGTCATTCACACAAGAAACGGTGATCCACAGCACAACAGCTCAAATGTGGTCAAGGCCAAAGGAGGAAACAGAGGGGAAGGGAGGGAGCCTCATTACAGGGAACCTGGGGTGCCTATGCAGGCAGGCAGAGAAGTGTGGAAGAGGCAGCCGGTAAGAGGGAGCAAGAGATCACAAAATGAGGAAATACAGAAAAGGTTTTTCAGGCAGAGCCGCAGAGGGAAGCTTGAGCAGGGCACATGTGAGGCTATGAGCCTGCCTTCACCACAGTGATCCTGACTTGACTTCCCCATCTGGCATCCTCCTCCGGTGACCCGTGGTTTGGGGTGAAAAGCCACTCTCCACAGTTGCACAACAGAGGGCAAGGGCTCCAGTGTCCCACCCTGTGGGCTCCTCACTGGGCACGCCAGCAGACAAGTGGGCACTGCTTGGGGGACTGGCCACAATGGGAGGGCACCTCTAGCTGTTGGCATCACGCAGAGCTGCAGAGTCGGCAACAGCCTCTGCCCAGAGACCGCTGCCTCCATGCTCAGCCGTTTTTGGTGAGGTAACTGGAAGGCAGTGATTCTGTTGTGTGCCTAGAAAATGTTTCAATTTCCCTCCCTGATAATCTGCCTCTACAAGAAACCCTGACACTTAGCAAGCATTCTTACACCCCGGATTCTTCTGAGGCTCTCAACCACCCTGAAAGCCTCCAGCCCCAGCATTTGGCTCCTGTTATAGATGAAGAGATGAGACCTAGGAGTGAAGTGGTTTGCACTAGGGTCACAGGCCCAAAGACAGGAGGCAGGACCAGACCCACACGCACAGCCTCTGATTCCCAGACCAGTGCGCTTTCCAACACCACACTTCTCCGGCCAGTCAGGCCCACAGGTTATTCTGCACCTAGGACCATCTAAGTGTGGCACTGAGGCAGCAAGGTAACCTGAGAACCAGTGAGAAATGCAATTTTTCAGGGGGCTATCCTCTGGAATCATTAAATTAGGAGAATGGGCCTACCAATCTGAGTCTTAACTAGCCAGCCACCAAGTGATTCTATGTGACCTTTGTGAAAGTTTAAGAATCAGAGTCTCAACCTTGGGGGCACCTGGAATCTTGAAAACCCCAATGCACAAGCAACATCCCAGAATAATTACATCAGGATCTCTTGGGGAAAGCCTGACATCAGTACGTATTAAAGTAGATAATTGTGCAATTTAGGTGAATAACCACTGATGTTTCTCTTCAGCCCCCTAGGGGAAGGTAAACAGATAGCCAAGGTGATCTGATCTCTCCCATCAATATGGTGTCTTGTCACCCCCTTGTCTCCAATTCCTTTTAGGCTCCTCCACTCATCGCAAGGGCCAATAAAGTCCATCTGCTCCCAGAGCTTCCCTGTCCACTTCCCATAAGCCTGGATTTTGGTGCTCTCTCCCTCCCAAGGTTCCCCAGTCACAAAGCAGAGGCCGGGTGCAGACACTGTACTGGGTCTGAGGACAGACAGCCTGTTGTAGGCATGAACAGTCCTGACCCCCTGCAGGAGGTTTCTCTCTGCCCTCTGCTCCTCTGTCGGTTCGCCTGCAAGGAGCAGCCCTCAAAAAAGGGGCAAACATAGGACCAGTTTGCTGGTCTGAATGCATGACTCAGAGTGAGATCCCACAAGTCCCTTCTTATGGGGGGGAGGGGGAATCCAAAGGAAGGAAGCTGTCTGGGGAAGGACCAGTCCCCAGGTCACAGAGAAAGCAGCTAACCTCCCGCCCCCACCCTATGTGCACAGACCTCCCCCGGCTGAACACCCACAGGCCCCAAAACATCTTCGTCTGGGAACAAAAGTTAGTTCACCTTCACCACTCAACTACACACAACTGCCTGCCCTGGGTCCTTCTCCCCACCCGAAATGCTGAATCATCCCAGTCCTTTCACAGCTCAGAAAAACCGATAAGCCAGCAGGCACTGGGTGGGGGCAGCGTTTTTTGGAATGTCAGCCTCACGGACAGCAAAGAAACAGCCAAGAGCCACTCGCACTCGCCTAGTTCCTTACATCAGAAAGAGGAATTGAACTAATAAGCATTTCTCAATTCCTACTCCTGAGCCAAGTTCCCCCACCCTTGAGTGCTACGTTCTTGAAATTGTACTGAGGTTTTTCATAGTGATTTTTGTTTAAAGCATGATTTAGATTTTTCATGTTTGGGGATGTGAAATCCTCCTGCCTCCCAGCTGTGGCCAGATGTGGAGAGGCAGCCCAGGACAAGTCTGGCAACCCCTGACGGGTTGACAGCTGGGGGCCTGTCACTCAACTCTTTCAGCAGCTGGGACTGGAGGAAGCTGTGACAACCCCCTTTATTTATAAAAATACCCTCCTGCTGCCTCCACGCACATCCTAATTTGGTGACAGCAGCAGCACAGAACATCTGGAGGACCGCCTGCACACCCCCTTCCCCTTGTCCTCCTGCATCTCCTTATTCCCGATTCTCTGACACCCTCACTTCATGAGCATGCGGATCTTGGGAAGGACAGACATGGCTCTTCTCAAAGGCAGCTGCTCTAAACACTTAGATCTTGTTGCCCAATCTTTCTTGGTCTGGGACAGTTATGGCTTTGCCAAAATATTCTGAGGCACGCTGAGAGCGGCTGATGGGGAACAGGCAGGATCTCCTTCCTCTGCTCCCAGGCCAATTCTTCCCCATGTATTCCATCTGTCAAAGGCATATGGTGCTAGCCCATTTTCAGTAAAACAGCCCTTGAACAGCTTTATCGCCAGAACCCAAACAGTATCTACAAAAGTAAAAGTCACTTTTCCCCCTCAGATTTTCACCTAGAGCTTTTTAGATTCTTAGCTAACACCCAGTTCTAGCACTGTTAGTTACCGAGCCCCCAAGACTGCTGAAATAAGAAGGGACACAGTCTGAAGTGGGTAGATGTGAGGAGTGTGGGAGGCACAAGGAAAGTGGTAACTAGCAGCTTGATGGAAAAGGAAAAACTACAAAGTAGGGTCTGGCAGTGTGAGACAGTCTGATAACAAGAGCTAACAAGGAAAGACTCCAGTTAAATCAGCACCATTTGTGGAAGAAAGCAGAGAACATATAGCATATTTTAGAGGATTTGCACCAAAGGCAAGTTTTGGGGTTTGCTCACAGGGGTCTCTGAGTGGAAAGAACCCTGGACTTGGTTCTAGACCTTCATTCACTGAGCTGCTCAACGGCACTTTGCCCCCTTGGGCCTCAGTATATGGTGTAGAGTGTGACGTAGTGACCGTGCTCATGGAACCATAAACAACATCATATAGGGCCTCCCCGGTGGCGCAGGGGTGAAAGTCTCAGCACTGCAGCCTGAGTTTGATCCCCGTCCCGGGAACTAACCCACATGCGTGGCAGACCTCTCCTGTCTCTCCCCTGCCCCCTCAGCAGTGTATTTCAGTAGACCTACCTGTTCTGTTCCCTGCTCTGTCTTTGGCAAATCCTCTCACCCCTCCCCATACTTCTGACCTACACCACAGTTCTTATATGCATAAATAAATAACATAAATATATTTTTAAAAAAAACGAACAGCATGCAAAGGGAACAAAGAGCTCTAAACATACATGGACACTAAGTATTTCTACTCTCCTTGCTGAATGGAGGTTTGTGGAACACTAACTCATATGGAACCTAGCCCAAGGACAGGGGCCCTGCTGAGAAGCGCGAAGATACATAAATAGCCATACACATACATAGTCCAAAGAGCCCCTTATCCAAGAGACTTGTACCTAGAGGTATTACCCCCACACTACAGAGGCCCAGAGAGGGTGGGAAACTCGCCCGCACTGGCACAGCATGTCAAAATGGAGCAGCCTAAGCTCCAGGATCCATCTGCTGGGCTGGGCTGCCCTCACTTCACCTCCGGCCCTGGGCACCCCAATCTCATGGCTGGAGAGGTCCTTACCTCATTGTCATAGACCAACAGCTGGGCCTGACAGAGGAGCAGATAGCGGTCTTTCCAGAGTCCGAGGAGGCCCCCACTGCTCTTCTTGATCCAGCCAGCCTTGTCTGCAGTCCGTGTTCCCCGAGGCTTCTCGCCGCCCTCCTTGATGCCCTGTAAGACAGCACCAGGATATGCCCTGAGGGGCTGCTGCCAAGGGCCAGGCAATCCACCAGCCACGCAAGAATTGTGTCTCCGTGGGTTCCTACTGACATCATCCATGACCCCCAAGACAAAACTCTTACTCCAGTATCAGAAATAACAGTATTAACAGCAATACAACAGTAATAATACAGCAGCAGCCACTTTACCTGAATGGAGTTACCGTATTACATTTTTTACACACAACTTCTCATGTATAACCACCCACCAAGGACGTAGCACCATTACCCATAGGTCACAGCAAACTGAAGTCGGGGAGGGGAGAGGACTTGCCAGAGTCACACAGCTGAAGGGACGGGCCAGAAGTCAAACTCGGTCTCCTCCCCCATTTTCCACCTTTGTGCTCAGTCAACTAATTAACAAATGCTGTACTGAGCCCCTCCGACATCAGATGCTGAAGTAGGCAGAGAAGAACAAATAGAAAGCTTCTGCCTTCATAGAGCACAAAAGGCAGCGAAGGACAAGCTAAATACACAGAACACGGCGAGAATGAGATGCTATGAAGGAAACAGTGAACAAGGGAGTGGCAGGGCACCTAGGGACCTAGCTCTGCCGGGGTGACCCAGGAAGGCCTCCCGCAGAGGAGTTCTAAGCAGGAGCAAAAGGATGGGAGGAAGACAGCAGAGTGATAATCTCTAGCCCCACCCTTCAAGAGAAGCTACTTGGTAGCCCCCCTCCTAATCCAAAGGCTACCCTTATCCCTGCCCTAGACCAGAACTTCGGAGTGGTCACCCCATCTAGTGAGGACTCCAAGGACTCTCTGCCTTTGACTACAGACTAGTAAGGGAGATAAACCTGAACCCTTCTCTTGGACACGGCAGGCACCTCGGACCTCCAGATCAACCACTGACATCATGTGGCCCTGGATCGCTGGCTTGGATGGCTGGGTGCCAGGTACACGCCTCTCAGAGAGGGTCAAATTCAACTCGGGTCCCCAGCACCCAGCACTGTTCTTTTACACATAATGGGTGCTCAAGAAATATCTGTGAAATGAAAATAAAAAATACACCCAAGTAGCTAACCACTCTACTTCAGTGACTGGTATCCCCAGCAGTGAGTGTGAAGGGGAGGTTGGGGGGGGGTCAAGAACATGTCAGAACTGAGAGGATGTGAGGAGGAAATTAGCACTGACTAATTTTGACTACTTTATAATTTACATAAAGCTCAAAAAAGGGGGCCCCAGTTAAAAGGGATACGCCTCTCCCCAGGGATACCCAGTGGCCACGGAAGCCTTTGGAAGGACAAGCCCAGGCAGAGAGAAGTGCGGTGAGCTGTCAGCAGCTGGGCAGGGCAAAGCCTCCCTGCTCTTTGTCATGGCAGGGGAGCCCAGTCTGAGTCTCACTGTGGCCCCTACCCCTCTGAACTGCACACTCTGGTGGTGAGGATTCTGAGTTTTGAAGCCTAAGTCTCACAGACCTTAAGTCACTTAATCTGTCTAAGCTTTGGCCTTTTCATCTGTGAGAGGGAGATACTAACAGAAGTTACAAGGATTGTAACTCCATGACAACAGTGATTTTTGTTTTGTTTACTTCTATATCTCCAGTGCCTGGACAGAATCTGGCAGACAGTAGGTGTTTAATAAATGTTTATTGAGGAATAAAGACACAGCCTATAAAGCAGCACCTAGGATACCCTGAACTTAGTAAATGAAAGCTGTCATTGTTACTGTCGCACTCCACCCCCTCTGACTCTCAGGGACCCTCCCTCTGGGCCTGCTGCAATCCACAACAAGGCCTTTCTGGACTTAGCTGCTGGGCCTCAGTGACCCAGCAGCTCCAGGAATGTGAGGTGCCCCCTCAGGGTCTCACCCTAGCTTGTAGATGAAAGAAAAATGGGGAAGTGGGATGGTCCCAAATGGTCTTCCCGGATGGAGGAATGAGGAAGTAGGAGGCTTGCCTATAGGCCGGTTATGAGCCATCATAACCAGGGGAAGAAGGGAGTTCAGGGCCTTTCAAAAAGAAGGGGGAGGCTCTCACATCTTATCATCTGCCCAGCTCCCCATCCCCATACATCACCCCTCTGTGTCAGCAACTACAGAGCTGTTGGCCACTTCCCCGGCCGATTGTCTCTCTTCAACAAGGCAGAATAGCCTGCAGAGAGTAAAGTTGCCGCCCTGATCTCTCTCACACTTCTCCTCCATGGGTTGTCATCCCCCTTTCTTGACCCACTGTATATGTGGCCTCCCTGCCCAGCTGCCTGATCGTGGAAATGTCCCACCAGCTGGAGCTCTCAGGGGCAAGGCTGGAACCTTGTGCCTTCACCACTGTCCTCCCCGGTGAAGCAGAGCACTACTCAGTGAACACCTCAAAGAGATTTGCTGGAGAAGTCTAGGGCCTCCAGGGGTGGGTGGGTCCAGGGTGGACTGAGAAGGCAGTTTGGGATGGGAGGTGGCGAGAGCCAAAGTCCCGGGGTCAGGTCTCTGTGTCAGTTATCAGCCACCTGAAGGGAAGCCTGGCTGGAGGCCAGAGTCCTGCTTGCCTACTACCCTCCACACAGTCCCTCTGCTGCCCCTCAGAAACTCTCCCACCAGGGGGCCTGGCTATGCCCCAGAAAGTTTTCATAACTGGCCCTTCCCCTTGGCAGGGCTCACAGGGAAGGTTTTGTCCTGCTCAGCCCAGTTTCTCAGCCTCCTCTCCACTTATTGACCAGCTGACCACTGCTCTTCCTGTTTCACTCTCTCCTCTCCCATTCATCCTCACTCCCCCGGACCCCCACTGTGGAGCACTGAGGCAGCAGTCTGCTTCCCGTTGCCTGATATGGAGGAGTCTATGGGTTCGTCATTTTAAGAAAAAGGCCAGGTCACCTGGATGCTGTGCTCAAAAGGGAGAAGTAGAAACACAACTCAGGAGCAATGACAGAGACCAAAGACCGAAGAAAGCTTGTCAGCAGCTCATATCACAAGGGAGTATAAGGCCTCTGCCCTTCAACTAACCTAAGTGATGGTCTGACCAAAATTTCCTAGGAACCCACCATGTCAGAGCCCCGTGATAGGGCAGCCAGAGAGCACAAGTGCAGAAGCTGCCAGTCTGATGGGCAGCACAGACCTGCTCAAGGAAGTCACTGGTCTGAGGGCTGGGTGGGCATCTCTCAACTCAGAGGGCCCCGACCTATTAGTGGAGAGACATAGCACCCAGGTACCCAGGGACACATCTCCCAGCTCTCTGGTGGGATGAGGGACTTGAAGCTAGTTTGGAAGTATGAGGAAGTACAGAGACACACATCTTGACGCAGAGAAGAAAAGGCACAAATATCACAGACACTCAACCCCCTCACTGTAGAATGAGAAAGTACAGCCCAGAAAGGGCCAGAGATTAGCTAAATTCTGGGCCAGGGTTCTGCCCTAAACAGGTAAGGGCCATGGGCAGCCAGGAGACACTAGCAGCTGGAACCAGGAAAGGTATTTCTACAAGAAGGCAAGGAACAGACGGTCAGGGCAGAAACAGGAAAGTCTGTCTCAGGCGAGGACTTTGGGGTGATCATCCCTTATGAGGAGGGCACCAAGGACCCCTGCCTTTGCTGGTATGAGAGTAAACTAGGGTCTTTTTGCAGCAGTTAAAGTCTCAACACTATGAAGCTATTACTAGTCACTGTAGCATGAGTTCCATCCCCGGCCAGGGAACTGACCCACATGGCAGAGCAGATCTCTCCTGTCTCACCTACTGTTCCCCTCAATTTTGGTCAATCCACCTATTCAGTTCCCCACTCTGTCTCTGGTGAATCCTCTCACCCCCACCCCTCCCACACACACACCTCTGGCCTACACCCTAATTCTTATATGCCTAAATAAAAACAAATCTTAAAAAAAAAAACAAAAAAAAAACTAGGGCACTTCTCTTGGACATGGCAGCCACGGACATCTTATGGCCTTCAATTATCGACTTGTGAGGGCACGGTGCCAGGTACATGCCTATCAGATGGGTCAAGTTCACCTCTGGTTCTCAAGACCCAGTACTACTCATTACTTCAGCTGCAGTAACAATCTCACACAATGATATTTGCAACTTTCAAAGTTTTTACATATATCATTACATTTGTGAATCGTACCTCCTTCATTTCACAGATGTGGAAACTGAGGCCCTGAGAACACAAGTGGACAGATGCCCAGTGCTTACACCGAGACTTATTCACCAAGTCTCATTTAATGGGGACTACCTATTGCACAAGGTCACTGAGGATGAGAGGGCTTGGCACCAGTGTGTTGGACCACAAGGAGGAAGCCCAAAGCTAGAGAGAAGGCTGAAAGCAGCTATGTGGGAGCAAGGTGATAAGGTTGGCCTAGGTTCATGGGGCAAAGCAGGTGACTGTGATCTAAGAAGTGTTTCAGAGAAACAAAGATGGGTACTAGGGCCTAGAGAAACAGGGAAGCTAGAGGGAGAAGAAATAGTAGTAAAAGAGGGACGTCAAAGGGGAAGTAGAGGACACAGAGCCCCTGGCTGTGTAGAGACAAGGTAGGCAAGACCTTAGACAACCCAGGTACGCAGGGAGTTTTTGGCAACTAGGAGTCAGTAAGTGGCAATGTTACACCCAGGACTAGAGAGAGTGTATGGCTGGGTTGGGCTGGGCTGGCCACAAGACAAACCATGGCCCAGGAGGCCCCAGGAGAACTTCCCTTAATTGGGGGCCGGAGCAGATCAGGAGATGGAGTAATCCCATCCCACATCCTCTGGGAGAAGGGGAGGGGCCATGGCCAGACAACCAAGCCCAGCAGCAGGGGCCTGGGGTGTTGAGGGGAAGGGCAGCCCCACCCCTGTCAGCAAGAAACCACAGCAAATCATAGTGGCCTGACTTTGCCCCCTACTTGCATCCACTCTGAAAACAGGGGCCACAATTATACCATCAGGACCCAGGGAGACCAGGCCCTATATTTTATAGAAGAGGAAATGTAGGCTGAGAAGGGAAGTGACTTATCTACCATCCCACAGAAATGTAAGCTCTGGCCTGGGCAGTGAGTGGCCCCAGAAAGCAGAGTGATGGAAACAGAGGAAGCCTGGTCCACTCAGGACTCCCCAGCTGGCCAGGGTTGCCCTAAAAGTGAAGCAAAGACATCCACGTCCCTTGGACTGGGAGGGACAGAAACTGAGACACCTCCCCCCCAACTTAGGGTACAAAAAACAAAAGTCCTTTAGACTCAGTAGGCCTTTTCTTCTCATTTATTCCACAGACATTAAGTGCTTGCTGGGTGCTTGGATGATGACGCTGCTGGACTACTGAGTTTGCAAGTAATGGCAGGGAGGGGATGTCACAGAATGCCTGACCCCAAGAGGGGAGAGGAAGGGTCTTGGGGGTGGGGGGGAAGCGGCCTAGGGTACTGTTGGTCCAGCTGCCCAGCTGCCCCAGGGAGTTAGCCCTCCAGGGATGAGGGGAGGGCAGAGAGGAGGATCAGCCCCATACACGGACTTGACTTGGGGACAAGCAAGAAAAAGGGAGAAAGACAAACACACAGGGACAAACATAGGGAAGAAAAATTAAAAGGATCCAGTCCTCCCTCCAGTCATCAGATGCACTCATGGCCTCAAGTCTTCCTGAGAGGGACTCCACCAGTCAAGGAACCAACACACACAAACACACCAGTCTGCCCCTCAGGATCCTACCTGTCCGGCCCGTGGGAATCAACAGTAACGGGTGTTCGAGACCGGCGACCCATGTCACTTCCAGCAAGTCATCAAACTGACTAGAGCCTCAGTCTCCCAGTCAATCAAATGGGAACAATAACAACCACGATGCCCCAGTTGGTGAGAGAAGCCAAAGAGGGCGAGGGACAACGGTCCTGCACCTCACAGGACACGGATCCCCATCCCCGCCCCGGCCTCGTCAGTCGAGGCTCCGCCTGACGGGGTGGTGGTGGAGGGACCCGGAGACCGGTAGGAGCCGGCCGGGGAGGAACAAGGGCCTGATTGCTGGCCCCCAACCGCCGTGAGGGGCTCAAAGACCCCAGCCCAGGTCCCCCGCCTGGGCCGGCCCTCACCTCCTCCTCCATGGCGAGTCCGCTGAGGGGCGGCCACTCCGCGGTTCACTGCCGGCGCCGCGCGGGCTCGGCCACCTCCATCCACGCCCGGCCGGGCGGCGGCTCTCTGCGCTCTGTCCCGCCGGCTGCCGGGGGCCAAAGAAACTTCGGGGGGGGCGGGGCCGAGGGCGGGGAGAGGCTTCCGGGGGCCGGGGGCGGGGCCTGGGGAGGGGAATTGAGGGGCCTAGAGGCCCAGATCTGGGGCGGGAAATAGGCGAGCGGGGCCGGAGCGAAGGGCGGAGCCTGGGAGGGGCCGGGAGTGTGTTACGGTGCGGGATGGAGGAGTCGAAGTCGGAGGAAGAGGGCGGGCCAGGGCTGAGAGGTTTCCCCAGTCTGCGGTGGGAGAAGGGCTGGGAGGGATTAAGGGGTACGATGGACCCGGAGGAGGGAGGGCGAGAGGGTTTCCGGCCAGCCCCAGCGGGGCTGCGGGTGGGACCGAAGGGCGGAGCCTGGTGAGGCGGTACCCGGAGAGCCGCCGAGGCGCTGGCTGCAGGCTGCTGGCGCCTTCGCGCTCTCGCTACCAAAAAGGGGCTGGGGTTACGGAGTGATCCCAGCCGTCCTGAGCTGTCCAAAGATGGGGCACCGAGAGGCTCCCTCTATCCTCTCTCACTTCTCATGGCAGTGGCCTTGGTCGTCTTGCCCCCGAAAATTACTGGCAGGACTTGGAGTTTGAGTCACCGTAGGGAGTCTCCGATAAGATCGCTGTATAACGGGAACAACTAAGGCAGTATATCTGGAATTTGAGGTCCGTCTGGGGGAAGAGATCTACCTTCTGGCTTTCAGGGGGCTCCCCAAATGCAGTGTTCTACTGTCGTTGAGCATTGCTCAGAGCTGTGGCCCTCCCTGCAGGGCCACCCCAAACTTATACCCCACACAATGGTGATCTTGCAGCCTAGACAATCTTGCTGGGGAATGGAGTGTAGGGACCAGTAGAGAATGAGGTTGTTATACGTTGCACCTTCATTTTACTCTTGAAGAAAGAGACCCAGAGAGAGAAAATGACTGCTACATTCCAGCGTCCAGCACCATCCCCCTTCTTCTCCCTTGCCCTCTGGGTCAACCCTGCCCCATGCTGCAGCAGAAAAAATTAAGTGCTTGTGGGATCGATGGTGACTTCCTTTGGCTCTGGCTGCCACAGCAGCAGCTGTACTAGTTGATCAAACTCCAGACTCCTAATTCACTTCTGGTCCTCAAAAGCACAGCTTGGGGTCCCAGGGGCAAGGGAGGAGAAGATGGGGCACACTTTTTTCTCATGCCTGGGCCTGAGTTCCTTTATCTAGAGGGATGAAAAAAAATCCAACCTTGGGATCAGAGAATGTCAATTGCAGCCACCACAGGATTTTACAGAGCTGTGCAACCACAGGTACCCATGCTTGAAGACTCAGAAGATCCCATATCTGAAAAATCAGATTGTACCTCTGGGAGATCAGAGACACTGGGGAATTTATGTTGTTATACCCCAGGGTGGTTGTGGGGATAAGGTAAATTTTTATATCCGGCAATCTGTCATTTTGAGAAGTCCCTGATAACCACTCCGGCCACTTTTACCATCCAGGCTATTCACCACACCACATGCATTCATTCAATACAAATGTTTTATTGACTTAATTTCAGGCCCTACACTAATAGCTAAGGGATGTGGTAGAACTATATTTCCTCTATCAGGAGAGAAGGCACGTAAGCAGATAAGAACACCATGTGTTAGATTTGAGGGTATATGCACAGAAGAAGCTACCAAAACCAGGGCAGAGGGATCATTCTAGAAAAAGGTGCCAATTGAATAATGCAATAAAGGCATAAAACAGGTAGTTGTGTGTGTCTGTGTGTCTGTCTGTCTGTCTATCTAGAGATGTCAGATAAAGTTCACTACAGAGATGGTATTGAAGATTGTGTTGAGAACACTACATTTTAACCTCAGGAAGGAAAGTCATCACAAGTTTTTGGCTGTGGAAATGATAAAGTCTGTTTTGTATGTCCACCACATAATCAACAAAATTTATTGAGAGCCTCTTAAGTGTAGTGTTTTCCAATACTTCATCCTGACATTTATCTGTTTTCTCAAGAGAATTTAGGGAGACTCTATAATCTGTTCACTGTACTAGAGTCTTCTATGTACTTATTTAACCCTCCCAAAAGGAAACAGACACAATTGTTATCCTTGCATTACAGATTAAGAATTAGAAGCTTGGGGCCCTCCCTGGTGTTGCAATTGGTTAAGGCACAGCACTATGAAGCCATCCGCAGCCACTGTAGCATGAGTTCCATCCCCGACCAGGGAGGTGACCCACATGGCATGGCAGACTCCTGTCTCCGCTACTGCTCAGCAGTGTATTTCAGTCAATCTGCCTGTTCTCCCCCTCAGCAGTGTATTTCAGTCAATCTGCCTGTTCTGTCTCTGGGAAAGCCTCTAACCCCTCACATCTTTGGCCTATACCCCAGCTCTTGTATACATAAAGAAATAAATCTTTTAAAAAAATTAGAGGTTTCAATGTACTTAAGATCATTTGACTGGTGAGTGGTGGAGCAAAGATTCAAACCTCACCTAGCTCCAGATTTTGAGCTCTCTACTAAATGAACTTTTTTGACATCATTATGTGACCAGGCCACACAAGATCCAGGCCTTGCCTTGTAGAGCTGGTGACTAGTAGGAGGGTAGATAAGTCCTGAGAAGGGCTCTGGTGAAGAAGCACATAGTGTGCTGTGATCTCTGGTTCCCAGTGGAGTGTTTGGAGTGACTGAGCTGTAGCATAATAGGGTTAGCTACAGGGGAGGGTAGGGGGCAGGGGAAGTTCAGAAAGAGGGAACAGCACACAAAAATGATAACTTATAGAAACTTCTGGCCTGCTGGGAGACCTGTAGGCAGATTTATGCAGTCATGCATGCAGAAGTAGCTGGGAATTCTACCAGATACTACCAAAAAGGCAGCAAGAGCTCAACACTAAGGACCTTGAATCCTTACCTAAGGGGTTGAAATTCCTCCTGCAAGCAAGGGGCCACTGAAACATTGAAGCAGGCACAGATTCAAGAGACAATAAAGGCAGCACATTGGAGAGCAGGACTTGGAGAGAATTACTTTATTATTCGTTGATTCATCCATTCAATAAACATCTGTTGAGTGCCTATCACATCTCGGGTACTGTTTAAACCCAGGACTATAAATTGACAGGATTGATCCCTGCCTTCATGATGCTAGAAGAGAGAGATAACAGGTTAAGATATAAATGAACATGTTACCAACAGACTGTGAGTTCTCTAAAGGAAATAAACAGGATAGTAACATAGTAACTGGGAAACCTGTATTACATACAACTAGTGTGAATGGGGGAAGCCTTTCTACAGAGTGGATATAGGTGAGATCTGAAAGATGAGAGACAACTGCAAAGAGGTGGGGTGGAAGGAGGATGGTATTTCATGAGTGGAAAAGAGTAGGTGTGAAGACCCTGGCCTAGGAATAAGCTTTGGATATTCAAGGAATGCCAAGGAAGCCAGAGTGACAGAGCTTGGGAGAAAGTGGTACACAGTAGAAAGGACAGAGTTGTCCTAAGGCTATGAGAAAGCCATGGATTTTAATCTAAAATGAATAATCAGGGAGGCATTGAGGGCTTTGAACTACAGCAATAGCAAATTCATGTATTTGAAAAGATCAGCCTGCTGCTGTTTAGAGAAAAGATGGAAAGGGGGACCAGAGTAGAAGCCAAGAATCTGGCAATATTAGAAGATAACTAATGTAATTCAGGGATGGTTTTCCATCCCTCCAGGCTCTAGGGTAGTGGCAGGGATGAAGGAAGCTGAATACATTCAAAATACATTCTGGAGGCAGAAACAAACAAGTTCTTTTTTTTTTTTTTAAGATTTATTTATTTATGAACACAAGAACTAGGGTACAGGCCAGAGGTATGGGGGATTAGAGGATTCACCAGAGGCAGAGTGGGGAGCAAAATAGGCAGATTGACTGAAATACTCTGCTAAGGGGAGTAGTTGGCAGAGAAGGACAGGTCTGCTGTGCCATGTGGGTCAGCTTCCTTGCCAGGAATCAAACTCATGGTACAGTGGCTACCTAAGGAGAGTTTCATAGTGCTGCACTTTAACCCCTTGAGCCACCAGGGAGGGCCCAGAAACAATTTTGATGGTGGAATGGATATGGTAGGTGTAAAAGGAATAAAAGACATGGTGTTGGTTAACTCAAAATTAAAAAAAAAAACGATGGTGCCATTTACTGAGGTAATGAAGACAGAAGAAAAATGGGTGTGTATGGGATGAGAAAGTTAAGAACTCTGTTTTGGAGAAATGAGTTTGTCTTGCCTATTTCCACCTGTGTGGAATAGGACAAATGGAAATACAGTTGGGAATTCAGGGGAGATGGGAATTCAGGCTGTAAATACTGGAAATTGCCTAATAACCAAACAATGGGATTGGAAAAGATCAAATGCTACAGTGATGTCTGGTTGAGGAAGCGAGCCTAGTAAAGGAGACCAATAAGGAGCAACCAGTATGTAAGAAGAAACTAGGGCACTGTGTTGCTGAAAAAGTTAAAAGAGGGGATTTCAAAGGATTGATCAGCGGTTCAAAGAAATGAGTGTCCCCTAGTGAAGCAGTTAGAGATGCCAAGGCGCTCTGGGAGCTGGAGGATCTTAAGAGGGGAAGGAGGGGGCTCTCTGAACATCAAATAGCAAATGAAATAATGCCAAAATGCATTTTGTAAACCACCCAATCCTGTAAGGTTCTGTTATTATTAATGAGCGGGGGTTGGACTGAAACTACCATTGAGAGAGAGCAGATAAAAATGTATGGAAAAGTTAGAAGGGAAGAAATTTCAAACTGAGGAAAATCCATTCCTCCTGAGAGCGTGCGTTTACCAAGCTTTGGGTTGAGCCAGAAGATAGGGGACTGGAAAGTAGCCGGAGGCAGCAGCCGTAAGCAAACACCCGGCGGGGTGAAAACGCAGCCCAGAGCAGCAAAGGAGGAAGTCCAGCCCCAGATGTGAAATCCCTCTGGCTTCGCCTCCCTCCTCCACCAGCCAATCAGAATCCAGATAACCTGGCTCAGACGGGGGCGGGGGCGGGGCCAAGAACCGTTAATCTACAGC